CCCTTTTAATTGCTATGGAAGCAGTAGGAGTGTACATAATTTTTCATAGGAGTACAAAAATTAGGAAGAATGGCATTGCTTTGTTTCTAAGAAGGCTTTCAAATGTATCCATAGTGTTTTAATAAGCAGGACCTTGTCAAACTTTACCCAAGTGACCTGGAATCATAGGTTTTTGAAACTTAAGTCAAAAGTGAAACAGTGATAAGTTACCGTTTGGACTGAATGATTAATAGTCAAATGTAAGTAGTGTGATATAATCTGTTCTGTTTAACAGAGAGATATTACTGGGATTAAATTCTGCATGGCATAATATCTGCCCCTTAATGAATATAAAAGGGGAAATGTGAGGCAAGGAAATTAATTTAAAAAAGAGTTCCTGTTAAACAAACAAATGCCATCCTATCACTCCTATCAGAGGTGGATCATGTTGGCTCATCTTCTTAACTTATAATGAAAGTTCAATATCGGCTTTAATACGCTGATGTAAGCCTCATATAATCTCTGAAAGTCCTCTAGTTCTAGGTCACAGTAGCAAATTGATTAACATTTACAGCTTGGTTTTTAAAGAGAATAACCAAACGTTTTTCAGTGTGCTGCACTCTAATATTACTGTTTGGTATAAAGCGTGGCTCATCGGCACAACATTTTATCAAAAGCCAGCATGTCGATGAGAAGTGAGAAGCACCGCTGTGACTGTTCGAGAACTGAATTCAATAAACCGAGACTTTATATTCATCCAGAGTTTAATATGAACCTTCATACCCCTCGCTGCTGTGGAAATGAAGCCCACTGAGATCACAAAAAAAAGAAAAACAGGCAACAGGGAGAACTCTGTTATCATTTTGGATTAGACATCTTGGGTGAAAATTTTCTGCAAATTAGGACGAAAGCCAGCTGAGGCGAAACTTTGACCAGTTGTACAACGTTTTTATAATATTGCACTTTATGTATTCTGTAGTGCAAAGACTGCATAAACTAAATAATGTGTTTCAAAGATTAGAGCTAATAAGTCCTATTACATGCCATGTGAGAAATGGGATGTAGAGCATGCTGTTGTCAACAGGGCCCTGGAAACTGAACCACTAGGACATTTGCATCAGTAGTCAAATACAACAGTAGACTCAAATAGTCTAAGACAGATGCATTGTTCTGTATGCCAATGGATGGATGGAGGCCAGTTTCCAGTCCCAGTACAGGAGGGGACTGGTTTCCATCAGAATAGCGATAACAAAGTGTTCCTCCACAGGTTAATTTAGTCCAAAATGGAGCAGAGCCGGATCTCTGACTCCAAATTATTGAGTTTATGAGCATTAATACATCATTTCATCCACGCATTTGTTCACACTGTTTCTGCAAGCAGCCAACAGCAAAGAGTCAGCCTTTAGCCCCATTCACACAAAATTAGTCTCACCAGGAGAACACATGTGCTTTAGGAAATAAATCACATGTTTATGCTCACATAGGACAAGCAGCTCTGTGTTTTACTTGACGGCGACATCTTTGGTCCCTAGCTACAGAGCTAGCATTAATATTAATAGACTGTTAAGCATCTCATCTATCTCACCACCCTTCGAGATTTCACTCTTCTAATGGATGTGACCTGGATCTCGCTGTTGATAGGTCTCCATGTTGTTTGGCTACAAACAACATGCCGTCCAAACTTTCTTTTGTAATTACCAGAGCAGCCTCTTTTGTGTAAGAAAAAGCCAGGAGAAAAACATTTAAAAATAAAGTTTGCAAAAGGGAAAAGGTCATCCAAAACAGCCTCATGTTGATTTGCACCAGACTATTAGTGTCTGGCTAAATGTGGAGGGTAATTTTCAGTGGAATTATGATTATTTTTTTAATTATGGCACCGATTACCTTCACAATTATTACGAATTATTTGAATTCCCCAGGTAAAGACTACCACTACCTGATCTCTTACAGTGTTTAATCACACAAATACAGTTTCTGGATTGTTTTTGGAAACCCACAAAGATTTGCTCACAAAAACCAACAGGAACAGATTTGTAGAACTTACCAAAACAGTCCTACAGTTTTATTGTCTTTTCTTCAAGCCAAGAGCACCCAGAGTAATCACATTGCTCTGGGTGCTCACAAGAATCAATGTGAACGTCTGTGAAGCAGATTTTTCACCATCATTTCACCCAGTGCAAATTTGTTTCAGTAGCTGTTTTTAAAACTGAACACAGAGACTAAAACTGTTTCTTTGAAACTGGTAGTAAAATGCTTTTTAGTACTCTAAAGCTGGACATTTTAACACGAGAGTCTGAGGATTTCTTAGAGTCAATGTCAAGTGGCCGTTAGAGGAACCACATGTTAGCTTTATTTTTTAGCCCTGAAGCTTTGTTTCTAACATGCATCGCATGCTTTGCTAAGAATGAAAGAAGTGAGATTATTCATCCAAGCACAGAACTGATTCAGTAATTTAAGCATAGTGTTATATTCATGACATTTGTTAACGGTACTGCACAAAAAAAGGCCGTAAGTACTGAAATGTGTGATTAATCAAATCAGCAATCAAATTAATTTCACTTTGATCTGTAACAAATTGAAGTGATTTCCGTGTCTTCTTTATATTAGGGGACAAGTTTCAGAGTTTTAATCTCCAGCTGTCACCTTAGAACTAAACAGCAGCACAGAGAGCGCGTTCAGCGATAAAATAATTAACTTGAACATAAATGTTGGTTTTACCACTCTGTGCACTAAATCACCAGGTTATTTTTACATCATAATTTGATAACTTATTTGATTGGGAATGGTGGCGCTCACAGGGATCTTTCTGAAATGCCCCTTTTTATGTGGTCACACCCAGAGCCTGAAGCAGAAAGCCCTTCTTAACAAAGAAAGTTGAAAGGCACCGTTGGGGGTTTTAGGTTTTGTCTGGCTCTCTTTTGTTTTAGACTCCCTAACATGGATTTGGTGCTTCTTGCAGCGGGGCTTCAGGGGGATTGAGGTGGACAGGGGCGAGCTGGAAAGGTGTGCGTTGTCTCTCAATCCCACCCATACAAGCAAAAGGATTTACTGTTCATCACAGGGTTTATAAAGGGACTAAAAATATGGATAGACAGATCAAAACTACGGTTGAATGATAGGCGGCGGAGATGAAGGAATAGTGTTTGACTAAAATGTAGCTTAAAAACTTAATCCAAAATATATGTGTGTGTTTATACACAATCTCAGCGGTGTGACAGTGCCAATTAAATTTTTGCTGGGAGCTGACCCCCAAATTAATCAGGGTGTGCAGTGATGGGATGTTTTCTCACCATTCCTGCTTTCTGACACTTGCCAGACTCTGTGTTCGCTGCCTGATGCGGCAGTGGTCGTCCCTGTGTTTGGTTGACTTGATTAAATCTGTGGTGTAATGGGAAACAAATTATGGCTTATGCAACATGATGAGTTGAAGAAGGGGGGCATAATTAGTATGTTCATCCACCTCTTTAAAGAGATGTGTGGGTTTGTCTCTGTGTGTGTGTGTGTGTGTGTGTGTGTGTGTGTGTGTGTGTGTGTGTGTGTGTGTGTGTGTGTGTGTGTGTGCGTGCAGCACATCTCCCAATCCACACTCCTTCTCCTCCCCCTTCTTCTCATTTGTTGGATGTCTCCTCTGCTTCAGTGTGTGTGTGTGTGTGTTTTTGTGTAGTACATGTGTCCATATGTAGTTGCTGTAGGGCCGACATCCCGGTGTGTGCTTGACAGTGTAGTGAATAGTTCATATGTATTCATGAGTAGTTACTTCAGGCACCACCACCAGAGTCATCAGTCCTTGGTCTGAAAGTGATCTGTCAGTGGCTGTAATGATCCAGCACACACACTTACATGCACACACTCCCAGTTGCAAGGTCTTCTGTCCTTGTCAAGCACGCCAAGGTTGGTAACTCTCACATATGGCCCGAGAGCAGACGCACCTTTTTTTTGTTTCCTGGCAGAGAACAGGCTCCAACAAGTTTCCTTTTGACTGACAGGTAAACTCAAAGAATGATGTGCTGCCAGGTGAAGACTGTGGGAAAAACAGACATGTGCATAAATATAACAAACGGAGTGTAACGTTTGGTTTAATTTTAGTGTCATTAACATACCCTGCTCTTTATCTATTTAAGGAATCTATTTGTAAATGCCTTCAGAGTGAAAATCGGTTGAATAGTAATTACTTTTAAAAATAAGATCAAACTTTCAGGAACTGTTTAGCAGTCTTCAGATTTTTAAGGAGTTTGGTTTCTAAGTAAGAGTTTCAAGATGGCTTTTTAAAGACTTTCTGCCTGTTTAGTGGGAATGGGTGTTGTAAGTTTGCGGGTATGTCCCCAAGTTAAAAGTTTTATTATGTTACTCATTTGTTCTGATTTGCTTTATTTTTGTATTTCTTCGTCATCCATCCATCCATTTTCTGTCACTTATCTGAGTCCGGATCACGGGGGCAGCAGTCTAAGCCCATACCTCCCACTCCTTAGTGACCTCATCCAGCTCTTTTGGGAGTGGATACCAAGGCGTTCCCAAGCCAGACAGGAAATGTAATCGCTGTAGTTGTTCAAGAGTGAGGGAGCGGGAGATTGACATATGGATTAGTTCAGCATCAGCAGTGATTTGCACACTATACCAGTCTGGTGTGGTGCAGCAGAACCAAGCATGAAAACTAAGCTGTCAGTCTATGTTCTTACACTCACCTATAGCCATGAGCTCTGGGCGGTGACCAGAAGAATGAGTCTGTGGATACGAATGCAAGCGGTGGAAATGAGCTTCTTCTGTAGGGTGTCTGGGCTCTATCTTAGAGTATGAGGAGCTTAGTTATTTGGGAGAGGTGCTACTCCTCCATATCAAAAACACCCAATTGTGGTGGTTTGGACATTTGGCTAGGAAGCCTCCCGGGGCACCTCTGAGGTGAGGTATTTCCGGCATGTCCTAAAAAAATATTCCATACAGTGAAAATCGAAAAATGTCACACTTATTATTGTTTTTGCGTTTAACATACATTTCTGTCTCCTTCTGCTTCTGTGTTTGTGCAGTGGTATTGGTAGGAACTGGCCATGGGCATCGGGTGGTAGCAGCATCCTGGCAGAGTATGGCACCCTGCATCTGGAGTTTATGCACCTCAGCAGACTCTCAGGAAATCCAGAGTTTGCTCAGAAGGTAACAGACACAGAGACTTTTAAAAGATGTTTTTTTGTAATAAAAAAAATATCTAAGCAATGAAATATACCAGTCCAGAGTCCAGATAAAGATGAGTATGTAAGAGTATTAGTTCTTCATTACATAAAGAAAAACAAAAATCCTAAACCGGAGATAAACAGTTCACATTAATTGATATCAATTACATCTTAGTATTGTTGTGTATAGATATTTAGTAAAATTAGCCTGCTAACTAGCTAGTCCCTTGTATAATAAAATATAATGTGCATATTTTGCAACTTTTGAGAATTTAAAGAATTATTTATGTTCTTTTTTTCTTTCTTTTAATATTAGGTAATGAACATCCGTAAAGTACTCAATCGCCTGGAAAAACCTCAGGGGCTATACCCCAACTACCTGAATCCCAACAGTGGACAGTGGGGCCAACGTAAGTCCTGATTCCCAGTTTCACAACCTGTATTTTGTTCTTTCTTCCCTTTTTATTTGTATTGCTTACATGTATGCTAATACTGCTTTAAACGTTTGTATAGTACTTTTCAAAAACAGTGTTACAAAATGCTTTACAAAAAGAAATAATCCACACAATAAAATATAGTTATACAGCAGGGAAAAAGTAATAAGAGAAGATGAAAGCTCAAAGGATAATTTATGAGGGGGGGGGGGCTCAAGCACCAATTAAACCTCTGTGGACGTTATTTTCTGGGATAAATCCAGTCAGCCATTCAGAGGACTATTTAACATCTACATTTGAAATCTTTTCACGCTATTGCAAAGGCTTAAAATCAAGCTAATTCCTGCTATTTACCAATTAACTTTTAACCGCTGAATACTCTCACAAGGTTGGATATCTAATGAATGTCTAAATGGCACTGGCTAAAAACAAGTAAAAGTTCAAAAATGATGTGGTAGACGTCTATATTGGGTACTTTTAAAAACATATGTGACAAGTCATTGCCAGTTTGACTGACCAGTCAGGCCATACCGCCACACGTGTGTGGTTCACTGAGCCGAGAGGTGTGCTGTACGAGGATCTGAGGCAAAATGGTGCACTGTTTATTTGCAGTTTACATATCAGAAGCTGTGCAATAAACTAAATTTTTTGGATATAGTTATGAGAGAGCTTTATATAAAGTCATAAGATATAAGATAACAAACTTTGGGAATCCAAGTTGTTTTGATTGCATCATTGAGAAGCTGTTTTGTGCACATCCAGGATTCTTGCTCCATATTTTTGGCCGTCGTTAGATCTTTCTACTTAAGAGAGTGAAAGTGCACAAGCATATCCTTTGGTTTTTTTTATGTAGAATTCATTGCTGCAGCCAGGGCTAGTACAAAAGTGACTGCCTTAGACTGATTTATGGGTTTAGTGTCTTTTAGACTTATTGGTCACTAATTAGCTAACATACACTATTGTAGGTCCATTAGCAGCACCACAGTGCTGTCACGTTCTTTATAGGCACAAGATGATGCTAAACATACTCTAAACTTGAACTTTAGATGCTTCTTAAACCCAGTTTCACAAACAGTGTTAGATCTGTGAAAGTTTTTGAGAGTAGGCATCCATGGTTTCAAATAGCCTCGATACATGTAGTGTTTTATGTCCACTTTAAAGTTCCTGCCTACTCACCAGATGCTACAGTCAGAGTGTGCCAGATGTTTCACAGATGGCATAACTGCATCCAAATCAAAGTTGCCACTCGCATGAACTGTTTGCGTTTGTTTGTCTTGACACAATAAAAAGGCAGTAACGTTTCAGTCCCAGGTTTCTGCTGGCTAAGCATCACCAATCACAGCCAACACCCTTCACATGTTGAACTCTTTCTTTCTTTCTCATTTGGGGATTTAGCTGCCCCCCAGTTCTTCCATTAAAGCTTATTTGAGATGTGAGTGTTTAGAAGGCTGCTTTGAGTACTCTGGGCCATCCTTAACATGTGGCGGATTAAAACTGTGGTAATCTTCTCGGGTTCGTTCACTGATTAACGAGAAAGTAAACATCTCCTCTGTGTGCTGTAATGCTCGACCCTTGAACTTGTCGTTTTCTTGCTAGTTTATGCCTTTGCTTTGGACAATAATTTTTATGCGTAATACTAAAGTACGTTAATCAAGCGTTCCTGTTGTGTTTGCACATTTTAAGATTTATCTCGGGCACAAATGCAAGACTGAGTCATAACTTCCTCCACAGAATAAAGGTGAAATGGATCAGTGTGTAATTAAAATGAAAATTGTGGGTTGAAATCTTTGGGTTAATAATTAGCGAGACTTTGAGTCTGGTATCAGAAATATTAATAAAATTTGCATTTATCACTTGAAGAATGTCAGCAAGGTTAGATCGTTTTTATCCACAATGACAATGACACACTAATGCATGCAAATTACAGCTCGTCTAGATTACTACAGTGTACTTTGTGTCGATCTTTTAAAGAAAAGAGATCTACACCTGCAATTTGGACTGACTAAAACCAAGAGATACCATCTTATTGTAGTCATTACTCTGTCTTCAGCTCAGATTGACACTTTGAAAGGGTGGCAATTATTTTTCTAATTTTCTGTGAACTTACCACCATTTATTGTGCATTAATGATCCTTTACCATAATTTTAGATAACTTCTCTTTAAACCGTACCAGAGCACGAATGTCCCCTCCCCTCCTGATCTGGGCCTGAGTATACTTAACATGCCCCCCTCTCTTTCTTTCATGCACTTTGCTGTTTAATTGAGGCTCTTTTTGACAGAACTGACAAACTTTCCTCTTAAACGTTGGCTTATAGATTTGCTTATTACTTACTGCATTCATTAGTGTTTTGTGCTTAGGTTGGGTATACAGAAGACTATTAATATGACTTGTAACCTGAAGCATGCGCTGCTTTATTGTCATTTTTGGTTCCAATGGGGACCATAATTTACTAAATGGACATGGTGTTGGTTTCAGTGAGGCTTGAAACTCACAATTGAAACCTTGAGTTCATCAGCAACGTGGATTTTACGGTCCGTTGACGCCAAAGTCACGAACACGAAGGTTTGGCTCGAATTACTCACATGAAAGCAACGAAAGCAAACCCTGAGAAAAGAAGCATCACAATAAACAGTGAAAATAACTGCTGCTGGTAGCGCTTTTACTTTGTAACCATTGTAAACTTCGGAGTATTGAGAAACTTGGGCTTTATGTTATCTTAAGGATCTGCACTTTCGCCGTAACGATTGTCACTTTCATAACTTTCATTCAGATTATTTCACTTTCTTTGTTTTTTGTTTTATCTGTCTACTTATGTCTTACCCAGTTGTGTTTATCTTAAATGATCCCTATGCAAATGAGATTTAATTAAAGTTTACCGAATGAAAGTTCTGTATAAATATTATGGAGCTCTGTTAACAGTGACTGAAGATAAAGAGTGCTAATATTTGTCCGTTAAACAAAGTTGATATATGCTGTTTCAGTAGTTAAACAGGTTGACAGAATGATCCAATATTAGTTTAAATTAGCTTAATAAAAATGTGTTAAGTTGTACTGCTTGTAGCTGTTGTGGAGCTTTTGTTAGGCCAGGGACACTCAGGAAGCTGGAATGAGTCATGCAGAATTACCTATGCAGTAATCTTGATATAGACGATTAATACATGTTGACGCATTGTCCCCCAGTCCCGAAGTTTGTTCCAGAGCGGGGTATCTTTAAACTAATTTGCCACGCCTCTCCCTCAGTCTATTAGATAACCCCGACACCACTCTGTGACACATTTTCCTAAGTCCAGATAGGAAAGATGTCAGTTGGGGCTCAGATTAAGAGACTAATCTCCAAGGCCTTTGAATGACTTGGACACTTCTAAGGTCATGCCGAAATGGAGAGGCCCACTCTAAAGAGAAAATCCTTTACACTAGCAGCAGAGGAAGTGTTTCTGCAGATGGGCCTAAAGTGGAATATCCTCTTCCTGTTCTCTTTCTTTCTCCTCACTGTGTCATCACACTTTCCATTTGAACCTTGACTTTCTTTAAATTATTGAAACCCACTATTTACCCGTGTCACTGTCAGATATTTTCATACTCACTCCAAGGCACGTCTTTAACATCTCCGGTGCTGCACAGGTCCGCACGCTCATGCTTCTGACAAGGCGCAGGTAACAGGGTGTAATTTTAAAGCCATTATCGGACTCGTCACACCGTGCGACTGAACAGGTAATGATAATAATGATAGAGACGTGAAGCTGGAGGAAGAGGAAATAATGGAAGTCTTGATCACAAAGAGAGAGGAGAAAGGACAAGAACATAAAGAAAGGTGTATAATGTGGAGGTGATGTAACTTATAGTTTGGGAGAGGAACCCAGCACTAAAAGCCTCTCCTTTCTAACAGCACTTGTCATACGTTGGAGGAAACTGCCAGCTGGGTACATATAATTAAAGTGACACTGACAAGCGGAAAGAGTGGGCCTGCATATCAAAATCAGTTTTTCAGCCTGTTCTTAAAGCTGGTTTAAGTGGGGTTGACCACTAGAGAGCAGAAACCAGTGGCTTAATAAATTTATTATAGCGATTTAAATTAGAAGGTGGATGCCAGGTTCTTGAAGCTACAGAGACACACACATGTCCAAACAACATTTAGTCACCTTATTACAAAAATGCCCACATGGAGGGCAAACAGGGGTTACAAGGGGAGATTGTGATTCTCCCAGATTCATATCTTCTCACTTGCTCTCTGTTAAATCCTGAATTTGTTAAGTCCTCACATATATCAGCATGAATCATCAGGCCCCATCATGCCTTAAAGACCTCATAGCATCATGTTATCCCAGCAGAGGACTTTGCTGTCAAGCTACAGGCTGACATGTTCCTAGAGTTTCTAAAAGTAGAATGGGAGCCTTCAGCTTTCAGGCAACCAGCTCCTTCTTTAGTTTCTGGAGACATTCCTTCTGGTTTTATAAGATTAGGCTTAAAACTTTGCTTGTTTTTATAAAGTTTGTAGTTAGGGCTGGGTTAGGTAAGCCTGAACAATCCTTTAGTTATGGTGCTAGAGGCTCAGACTGCTGGGAGGTTCCCATGATGCACTTCAATAACCTCTTTTCACTCCCGATGTGTTTACATGCCACTACTGTATCTCTCTCATACCTTGCAGAGTTTTTTTGGCTTGTTTGTTTGCTTTTTTCAGTTTTAACAGACATCTGCCCCTCTCTGACTCTGGTTCTGCTGGAGGTCTCTTCCTAAACGTCATCTTTTCCAAACGTCACCTTTGTAATCATAGGGACTGTCTGGCTAATATTGCAGGATCTTAACCTCACAGCATAAAGCATTTTAAGGCAACAGTTGAATTTACTGTACTACCTTCCAGATTATTTTTACCAGGTTTGTTTAGCCAAAAGAAAAGGGATTATTGGAATGCATGGAGTATTGGACTGTGTGCAAAAACACATGCTTCGTCACAGCAGCTCAAGCAGTCAGCAGAGACAGATTAAACCAGTGTGAGACTGGAGAAAAGTTTTGATCAGGTGCCCTTTTATGAGCATTTATCTTAAATATCCATGGCTTCAAACAAATCAAAAAAATTGTCAGGTTACTGCCAAACAGTTTCTTCTGATATGTTGCATATCTAGAAAATTCTTAGTCATCATGCTGCATTTTGACCAAATTTAGTCACAACTGTGGAGCCCCAGGAGTTAAACACAACATCGGGAGCGGCACCAAAATTGCCCTTTAGCCTGCTGCGTTTTCATTTCAGCTGCCTGCCAAGAACTGCAAAGATTAGGCAAATTAGCGTAATAAAGGATTAGAAAGTGACTTTGCTTGAAACATTGTTTTGCATACACAATACAAGAAGGATCATGCGCTTTGTAATTTATTGCAGTTAGACTGTGGAGTGTGAGTTGATAGGTAGCAGTCGCACACAGAGAAGGGAAAGAAGACTGAAATTACTTTAAAAACTGTTTTTTCTTTTTTCCACTTTTAATTCTTTGTGAGTATTTTACATTTAAAATAAACTATTATTCAATTTTACATTATGATAGTGCCATGTTTGCAACACCTTTCCACATAGAATCTGATACAGGTCTTTTGATTTCCACAGCAAAACAAATTAGAAATCCTTTAATCGACTTTTATTAATGTTTTTTTTTCCTTTCTTTTTTTCACTGATATGCGTTCAGCCTTTATTAGAGTTCTGTCAGGTATTGTTTTTTGCCACCTTCTATTTTATTAAAGGGGTGTTAGTATCTGTAGTATCCTAAATCTGAATCTGCACCTGTGGTTTACTTGCTTTTATTATGTGATGGGCTGAAAAACCACTGAGAGCACATCCACGATTATAATGGTTGGCATTTAGCTGACACTCTTAACCAGAGCCAGCTACTATGATTTCATCCAAGTATTTTATGCAAATGATGACATACTCGATTAGAATAGAAACTGGAAGTTCAAACAAAAGAAGGAAAAATCGTCGCTTTTATGCTCGTCTTAGATTTTTTCATCTAGACAGAAATTATGCAACAGTGATGGGGAAGGCATTTGTTGAATAAATTATAACTCGGGGATCTCTGCTGCTTAACGCTGTCTGAAAAAATATCTCCACACCGCAGCTCTCCAGAAAGGCTCTCTCTTTTACATATTGTGATTTGAAGTGTTTGTATTTTATCCAAACAGCTGTGGCAGTGACTTGTGATGATTAAGTCATAGTTTCCATCCTCTCTCTGTTTATAATATATTAAAAAAATGTTTGCACAAATTTATTCCAATCGCACAGCTGTAATGCCGTTTGGCAGACTGCTGATGGTCTGTTTGAAGCGTGTGTCATCTCTCCTGATTGGCTGGTGCTGCTGTTCCTGTTTTTTGTTATTGAACTTGAGGAAGGCCAGGTACCGTTATCAGCTCAGAAACAAACTGTGTTCAGCTCCGTCCTCCTTTTTGCCTCACTTTAACATTATCACAGCTGACATTTAATCTCTGCACACCACAAACAACCTCAGACTCTGTTAATGATGCATGCATATGGATGAGGCTTTGCTGACCATCAGCAGGACGAATGCAAAAATGCTGCTCGGCTTGCTCAGCTCTGTGAAGGCTCACCAATAAAAAATAGCACGCACACATATCCAGAGTGCTGTTGTTTATCTTGGATCACCGGTATGCCACATACACCGTGTCATGTGAGGATGATCTTTGGATGGCAGTGTGATCTAACCCAGAAGACAGATGGGGAGGCCTGTTTGTTTCTGTGTGTCTAAGTGAGTTTCACTCCTTTCTTTATCTGTGTGTTGCAGATCACGTGTCCGTGGGTGGCCTGGGTGACAGTTTCTATGAGTACCTGCTCAAGGCCTGGCTGATGTCTGACAAGACTGATGAGGAAGGCAAGAAGATGTACTACGATGCCCTGCAGGTACACACACTCACACACACACAATGACACGCTTTTCAAAATGAGCTGAGGCGACTTTGACTGTTTGTGATTGAGGGGGAAAAAAAAGAAGTATTCAGAGTTTCAATCACAGACTTCACTGGAACTGCAGCACGTAGTAAAATGAGCTATCATTCAAGTGATAGTGGATCTCTTTATAAACAGATATCTGCAGGAACGTTTTACTTTTGCACCAGAAGCATTCTGGTTTGGCGTTTTTTGTGTATTTGCGATTTAGGTGACCACATCGCAGCAAACCAAACGTGACACAAACTGTGTGTTTGTGTGAGTAACACCACTAATGCTTAGAGGTGATCTTTTTTTTTTTTGAAATACATATATTTGGCACATAAATGACAAATATACAGTAGTTTATCCAACTAAATTTCCAAGTTTCCTTACAATCATATTCCTTTTTTTTCTATCCAAATAACTGTTAAAAGAGTTACCTGTTAAATCTACTGTGTTTTTGTCTCTTTATTATAATAATAGTAACAAGAGCAAAATAAATATCTGTAACCTCTAAATAAAACCTGTGAGAATTACCTTTCAAAGTTTCGTCCTTGTTGTTCAGCTGTTGCTCTAAAAGTGTCTGTCCTGCTTTGGTAACTTTTGTAAACTCGAGCCAATCAAAATGTGGAACATTGTCTCATTATGTGGTACGAAGGGATGAAAACGAGGTGCAGTCTCACATAAACTGGGACACATCGTCAACCTTCTGTATTTGTAAAGAATGGGCAGCAGATGTAATGGGAAGGTTTGGCCCAGATATCGCTTATTTGTGGAAAAAAACTGCCATTGCGGCCAGAGGCCAAGTCAGCAAACAAGCCTGTGGGTTTCCGGACCGAGTGATTTTGATAATCACTCAATCATGTTTCAGGCAAAATGTCAAAAATACTGTCCAGGTTCATCCTTTAACTTAGAGGGATTTGCTGCCTTTTTCTGAATATTTGGGGTTTTAACTGCTGAAGAAGATATTTGAACAATTTTTTTTCCAATTAACTAGACAATTGTAAGATTTTGTGTTACAATAGTGCATGTTCATACAAAAGCTTAGGATAATGAGGTTGGTGTATACAGGTAATGCTGCTCAATACGCTCAGTTACAAACGTCTGTTTGTGAGGGCAGCCAATCAGAAGACAGTTGGCTTAAAGGGGGAGGAGCTAAACTGCTTGTTTAAAGCATGGAATGAACTGAGGGCCTGCACCAGGACCCAGTATAAGATAAATAAGGATTATTTTGAATAGTGAATCACGCAAAGCTGCTCTAGTAGTGTCCAAAAGTATAAATAAGTCTGTGTAGTACTAAATTAATTTTACAAAGTATTAGTCGTGATTCTATTTTCCAGTCTTTATCATGTGTTAGCACTTAGAGAGTAATGCAGACAGTATTGTGTATCTGCTTTGTATTTTATTGCTAATATATGGGGAATCCCGAGGTAACCTCTGGAAGGCTGTGAGTGTATTACACATACAGCCAGTGACCTCTAATTTGAGGCTGTTCTTGCTGAACTGACAGCATAAGGGTCTGTTTACAGATGGTGAACTGTGTGGATTTACTCTGGGGTTTTGCATCCTCCGTGCACCCTCTGAGTCATAATAAATGGTTGTTGGGTAATAGCGGAAAACAAGCATGAGGCCATCTTTTGATATTGAAAAGTGGCCTTTTTGTTCTATTTATTTCCGTCTAGCTTTGAAGCTTTGCAAGTGTTACTTGTTGCCTCTGTAGTTTTATGCTAAAATATGCTATTTCACAGATTTAATTTTAGTCTAAAGTGGAGAGTTTTGTGATTTTTATCTCAAGTAATATAATCTTCAGGAGCTTGATACAGAGTTTGAGCAGATGGAAGGATGACACAGCTGACAGGACTACTGCTGAATAACAAAAGACACAACTACAGTAACAACAGCACTCGTAAACCCAAAGGATAGATGACACACACGCACAGACAGACACACGGAGACAGCTTTTCTCTGTTAGAACAAATTGTCAACTTAAGTTGAGGTGACAAGCGACGGGTCTCAGCTGGAGAAAGCTGATTGTCCGTCTGTCTTTCTGTGGCACACTGGGAGCGAATATATTACACAGCGACTAAAATTCAGACTTAAACACGCTGGGATAGTTTACCCATAATCCCTCTTGATCTTTGAGGATTATGGGCATTCTTGTTTTATTTGTCAAGGAGAGGCTCGGGAGGAGAGAAGCAGCAGGAGGTCTATCAAAGTCACAACAAAACAGAAAAAGGAATAACTTTTACTTTTTGCACAATTTGTGCTCCTTAAAGGGTCTGTAAATAGAAAAATACAAGGTTTTTCATTTTGGAGCACTACTTATCCATTAGAGATAACAACTGGAACCAACACAAATCAGTAACTCTTAAGATGATTTAGTTGTAGTTTTTCAATCATATCTAGCAATCTAGTCTTTGGTGATGAAGGTAAATCACAGCCACAAGCATTTCTATATTTCCCAATGGGATTGACATGTTTTCTTATCTGCAGATATCTGCTGAGACTGAGTATAAGGAGGAAATTATTATGACATATTATGACTAGAAAGAAATGTTTGTGCACAGCTTCAAGCATATGTTTTCTCATGTGCTCAGGGGTCATCCCAGATCTCTGGCGGTATCAATTGTAGCCTTGTTATAACAGTTTCAGTCTAATACAATTGATTTTCCCAAGGGGCCACATGAGAGACTGGGACTGTTGTTGAAGGCGACACGAATAAGATGAACTCTCTTATGCTCAGTGTGAATTTTATCCCTTTAGAAGCTTATTGGTCTATAGAGATAAATCGGTATAAAGAAATCAGATAGTTATTGGGCATACCTGAAGTTAGCTAATTTATGCGGGCCTCCACAACAGTCCCAGTTTCTCATGTGGCCTCTTGGGAAAATTAATTGCCCACCTCTGATCTAAAAGCTCAAAGTGGATTTTTGTTGTTCAGTGATTCAAATTAAAGCAGGTGAAGCTATGAAGACTCCGATTTGCCGCACTGGCATCCACCTGTCAGTCAAATAAGCCATTAATAATGGATAAATTCAACCCATGATATTATATTACCATGGTCACTTTCTAGAGTCTTAGGTGAGCCTGCAGTTTAGGCACATCTGTGTTGACTGTTAATGTTCTCTTCCTCATCTTTAAGGTGCGACAACAGTCACATATTTTAACCAAAGCTAACACGTTTGTAATCTGCGTTTCTTCCAGGCAATAGAAACCAACCTGATGAGGAAGTCAACCAATGGGCTGACCTACATAGCGGAGTGGAAGGGGGGGCTTCTGGAGCATAAGATGGGCCACCTGACCTGTTTTGCAGGCGGCATGATCGCTCTGGGTGCTGATGGGGCGCCCGGTGACAAGACGGGCCACCAGATGGAGCAGGCAGCAGAGATCGCTCGCACCTGTCACGAGTCTTATGCCAGGACAAGTAAACAGACACTCCACTTCATCTTTTTGCCCCACTTCTGATTTGGTTTGTTAAGCGTAGATGCATTTCATTGTAGAAGTGAATCTGTTGACATAAATGGTAAATGGCCTGTATTTGTATAGCGCTTTACTAGTCCCTAAGGACCCCAAAGCGCTTTACACATCCAGCCATCCACACATTCACACACTGGTGATGGCAAGCTACATTGTAGCCACAGCCACTGACAGAGGCGAGGCTGCCACCGGGCCCTCTGACCACCACCAGTAGGCAACAGGTGAAGTGTCTTGCCCAAGGACACAACAAGCGAGACTGTCCAAGCAGGGGCTCGAACCAGCAACCATCCGATTACAAGACGAACGCCCAACTCTTGAGCCACGATCGCCCCATAACATGTGTAGATTTCTGAATATGGCTCAATCCAAACGATTACTACTCTCCAAATTATCTTTCATGTCAGGTTTTTGAATGCTGTCCATGCACTGTTCATTTTTTTTAATCAAGACACTCAAATTAGTGCTTACTGAGGGGAAAGTGCTTTTAGACTCATTTAAAATTCTCATTTTTAATCAATGCCATATTTTAAGAGGATGCAGTTTTTTCCCTTTTTCCTCTTAATTCAGATAATTGTATTTATCGCCCTCATTTAAATGCATCCTTAGGTCGTGTTCTGAGTCATCATGATTTGAATGCAGTTCTGGAGAAACCTCACCGCTAGCAGTTGAATAGCATTATTCTTTTCAGTGACCACTGACCTCTAAGTTAGTGGTGTTGCTCTGCACAGCATCTACTTATATTACTTATTTACTTACTTACATATTAGTTTACTTTATGTAAATATTTGGATAAATAATAAAAACAAAGTGAAAGGGAAGAAAACCAGGCATGTTCACTATTCTGTAAGCCTTACATCATGTGGTTTTCCATACATGTGCAAACATGCAAAATATATAAATATGCTGAAAAACACGGTTCTGTTCTTCATCTCTGAACATTTTCTTGTCTTGTTCTTGTCTTTTGCAGCTTTGAAACTCGGACCAGAGGCTTTCCGTTTCGATGGCGGCGTTGAGGCCATCGCCACCCGCCAGAACGAGAAGTATTTCATCCTCCGTCCTGAGGTCATTGAGACCTACATGTACATGTGGAGGTTTACCCATGACCCCAAATACAGAGAGTGGGGCTGGGAGGCTGTACAGGTAAAATATCTATCTATGAAAACGAAGATTGTGTTAATTTGAGAAAAACTGGAGACAAAATTCTGAAAGGAAAAGTAAAGTTTTTCTATTTAAAAATCCATAAATTGCCTGTAAAAACAAAAACAAAAAAACCTCACACAAGGTCACTCATGATTTAGTGAATAATCCTCCCTAAGGTTCAATGATTTATGTCACCAGTCACCGATGGCCTTCTTTGTCTCCCTCTCCCTCCGTGCTGTCCGTCTCCATCACCGTCTCTCATTCAGGCCTTGGAGCAGCACTGTAGAGTCGACGGAGGCTACAGCGGCGTCAGAGATGTCTACGCTTCATCTCCAAACTACGACGACGTGCAGCAGAGCTTCTACTTGGCTGAGACGCTCAAGTAAGACACAAACTGAACACCCTTCACTTCTGTCCTCTTATGATTGTGCTGTCATTGCATTTTATGGTGTGACTAGGACCCTGCAGCCCCGAACTGACAGAGATGTCAAGCCCCACACAGACACACACAGGTTGTCATTCATTCACACTAAGCTCCAGGGAAGAGTGTCACACACTTCCTGAAATTGAGGGACTTTTGTAGCTGTACAAAATAAGTAAAGTACATTTTAGGCCCAAAATTGCAAGCTACTGCAAGACGGAAAAAATATTAGGTTCACAAATGAGGCAGAAATAGAGGGGAAAGTGTTTAAATCTTTAGGTCTTTTTGCTTTTAGCAGATAGTTTAATATGGATTTCTTAGGAGGAAGAATGTGGGACAGAGGGAAAGAGGGACAACTTGAAGTGTTAAAAAAAAAGTTGGACTCAAACTGTGAACAGTGGGATTACATAGCTGTTGCTGTTATACCTGGACAGCCCAACATTGTAACCAGAGTATCTACAGGTCCTTAAAACACATTTAGTATCAAATTGTCCTAATGTTGTTTTCACTGTTTATGTTTTTACAGATTATAAATGTGCTGTTTTCAGAATAGGCCAGAATCCAATTCACAGTGAAATTCAGAGGTCAGAGGCAGAGAGAAAAGCCGTGAATCACAGTTAACCTAGTTATAGTATAAACCAAAGATTTAGCTTTCTGTATTTAATGAATATGAAGTAGAGGAATATCAGCTGTAAGGATTTTACTTATTTATTAATAAATAACTACAAAGAAGTACTAAGAAATATGTACAAAGGAAGACTGCAGTATAGGGTTAAAAAATAAAATGCAACACAGTACAAACCTTAATTCTCTCAGCAGTAGGCTATAAAAAAGAGCTTTCTTCTTCTATTGCCCCAGACTGTGCAACTCAGTAAAATGCACTGTCATTCCTATAACAATTAAACCAGATGATTTCTTATAGACTGGTTATGTTTAATCAAAAAAAAGTGCATTTTTTGGCATAAAAGATGACATGAAGGAGAACCAAAGTGACTTACCGGTGGCAAAGATCTTGCTGTACTGCTGTAACACCAGTAGCATCTACAAGCTTAAGCCTCATTTATACACTGTTGTGGACAGACAGCTGGAGATATAAACAACCTCATTTATGTTATTCTTTTTAAAGTCCAATTGAAGTCCACTCCCTCATGCACATGCATAGTTTTCATTCTGCCTGAAATATTTGTCAAAGCGGAGCTAAATTGATGAATTTGGAGTTAAACAGCAGAGCTGGTTACGTGGGATGAATTTACATTTTTAAAAAAAGCCAAAACAAACAAGAAATATTGTGTCTAGAGAAAAGCTGTAAGACATCTGTCATCTCTCATTTAGTCCTAAATATTTAGTAGCTTGTAATTTCAGGACTCAAAAAAGCTTCCTTTTGGTTAGTTTTCTTTGTCAGAAGTGGGATGCGGTCAACGCCAAAGGCTTAATGTGGATGGTTTACTGTTATGTGGCTCAATTCCGTGTCTTGTCTTGGTTAGAGTTGACATTTCGGGTGTGAATGTCATATTTGTGCCCTCCTCTTTTTGCTCTTCTGGAGTAAAAAAAACTCAAACGCAGCTGGGACTTTCTATCCTGTAGATGACAAAGAGGCTTTTAGAGTTACTGGTAGTAGTAGTATTTATTTATTGTCATTGTCAAGAACAATGAAATTGCGTTTGGGGCTTCCATACCAGAGTATATTCATCTTTTTTCATTTCAACATCTGTTTTGCATTCCCGAAACAGTCCAAAGCTAAACTAGGATGATTTCTTCTCTGGGACGTATAATAACATGAAAAGAATTGGATACAAATGTGCAGAACTTGTTCTGAATAAAATAATATTTTGCAGCATTATAAATAAACTTCCTCTTCACGACTGAAAAACGGTGCCTTGATACATTAGATCTGAAATAGCAGAAATCTAGTAGAGAAAGCCAGAAACTGTGAAAAGCACCGCATGTCCTTACACACCACAGGCAGCACGCCGTCTCACTTTTTTCTTAATACATGGCTGATATTTTTACTTAACTGCCCTTATGTGCACGTCTCAGTTTGAATGTGTTAATGTGAGCGTTTGAGTGTGCAGCCAAAAAATGGCTCTTTAAACGTGTTGTCAGCCACGCAGTATGATGTCTGGTGGCTAATAGGGCTTTCTCTGGCCTCTCCAGCTGTGCTCAAGAAGACAAGTCTGTTTAAAGCACGAGGAAAAGTCTCGGCTACAGCTTAACGTGGGTGGAAGCGTGTGGTCATGCACTCTGCCGTGTGTGTTTGTGTTTACTTTGTGTGTCTGACTACGCAAAGGAGGAACAAGGAGAGCATTCAGTGTTAGTGTCATTATGAAACATTGGGTCAGTAGTGCCAGAGTCAGGTAAGTAGTAGTAGCAGCTACACAAGAGTTATTCATCACATGTTCTTTTCAGGTACTTTTATAGTATTTTGCTCAAAGTTGCAGCTTCTAGTTAATGTATTTTTTTATGGATGTAACACAATCAACCATTCACAGCGTAGAACTATGCTAAAATTAAAGCTTAAAAGAGGCGGGGAATCAAGGCTGAAAGTTCTGCATTCATTGCTCCTGTTAATCGAACATGGTTGTAGGGCACGGTTTTCTGACCAGTTATCCATTTTTACATGAATATTTTTAAGTTGCCTGAAGCAAATAAAGAAAAATGTTCAAGGCGAATTTAAAATCAGCTGTCAGAGACTCAGCAGCATTGAGAAAGCGCGCACAGGCTGTAAAATAGCTTAGTGCAGTTGAGCTTTAGAGCTGATACGACTGGTGATCAGATATCAATACTGTGGCTTCAGGTCTCTGCTGATGCCGAGTGACAATCTGACAGGAGTGTAAAATTATGCCAAGGGTCACACTAGAATATAAACAGGACAACAATGTCCTCGTGACGAGGAAAATTCGGTGGTTTGCATTGAATGTTTTTGCTGTTGGCGACCGATTGCAAGTAGTTATGGCAACCAGCTGTGTTTTACACACATATGATGATCACAAACAGACTGATCGCAGACTGACTCTGTCTTATTCCCACTTTTATCACCGTCTCAGCCCTGATTCCCATCTACAAAGCAAACAATTCACACAGCACACGTATCCCAACACTTTTTTTAGTGTGACTGTAGCATAAAACTCTTGTTCAGTTTAACATTAAACATCCAAAATGGTCCTTTGTGCGAGTTCTTTCTACTGATCATCAATCACGCTGGGTCTTCTTTTACTGCTCTGTCTGAGGGCACGTCTTTACTGCCCGTGTCTTACACGCCAACAGCTCACAAAAACAAAAAATAAGATGATATGATGAATACAGCTTAGGTTAAGTGCAACAAAAGCTTCCCAGCAACTGTTACAACAAAACATAATGAATGAGCGATAGAGGGAGAGAGGCCAAAGCCTCATCGTCTGAGCTTTTCTGCTAGTATCAGCTCATGGTGACCACAGTTTGAGGTTAAGTCACAGATTTCAGAGGAAGAGCCAACAGTTTCTATGCCCACACGACATATAAGAGTGTGCAAATGAACCCCCGCCTGCCACAAACAGATTCTGAATCTGTGGTATTATGGCACGTGTTTTAAATGCTGCTAAGAACTGTTTTTAAGTTTTGTGGAAATGTAATGAGGACTCTTCAAAGGCTTTAAGATTCAATGAGTACGGAGAGAAGGACCCTTTGGTTGTTCTCTAAAGAGCATTAAAGCTGTTGACAGTTGTGTTTTTTGTTTTGTTTTTTTCACAGTCAAATATTCATTTTTTATTAAGCAATTAAGCTTTAAAGTTGAATGGAATGCATTTATTAAAGGCACAAGATACCAAATCAATACATTGATTTCCCACATCTGATATCAGCGTTTCTCACAGTTACCATTAACGTCAGCATGAATGTCTTCATTACTGTGTTCATCTGCTGATTATTGTTCCAATTACATCCTTAATTGACAAGAAAGAGTTTAAAATATACATTACAGGTTTCCACAGCTTCCCTGATGTTTAGTATTTGATCATGTGAGACAAATATAATAACATAAAATCAAAACCTGTGTGCATGTATGAAGCAGTGGACTTCATGGATGGACTGATTAAAGACCAAAGTTTCTATTCGCCTCTTTCTCCCGAGCCTCATGCAGATTTATCATCCTCTCCGTTTCCTTTGCTCCCTTAGAAATGATATCAGCCACTCCTCCATCTCCCCCTCCTCCTCCACCTCTATCATTTTTTTTCCTCCCCACATACCAGACAGCTGTTGACAGGAAGTCAAGGTTATCCTAACAGAGCCTTATGGGGGCGAAGTGCCATCCAATCCAGCTTTTATTTTATGGGCAGTATATTTTAACAAGCGTCACCTCTACTCCTGATTAAAACACTCACGGACACAGAAACCAACACAGCCAAAGTGTCCGACTTCCTTCTCAGATCAGTTTGTAGAGATTTATTTTTCCTCTTCATCGACATAAAAGGGAGAGCTGGCTATTTGTCTAGGCAAGTGGAACAGAAAAGAAAAAAGTGTCTCTGAATGCTAATGTGTTATTAGCATTTTCTCACATTAAAGGCCCCCCACAGACAACTGGAAGGCAGAATAACTGCGTAACTGACCACGAGCCTGGACACTAACATAATAATTACCCCATCGGTCAGGCAACTGAAACAGACCTCGGCAGACACAGAAAATATCAATCCCATTTAGCTGCGAACCCACAAGTCTAATCCTCCTAATGTGACTCGGGGACTCTGGCATCTTCCAGCATTCATCTTCCCGATGCTGCCAAGGACGCCGTCGTACTTCACACTCCTGTCTGCCTTCAATCACTCGCTGCTGTCTGCTTGTTTGGCTGGCAGGCAAGCAGAGGAGGATGGGGACTCGTCCTGGAGTTTGAAGGCTTCGTGGACGACCAGCTTCTCTACTGAGTCATTATTTCATCCTTAGCTCACGCTTTCTTTTTAAGCTTGTCCCTTTTCTTCAGCTCCATTGTTTAAATTTTCATTTGCGACCAGTTGAAAACAAATCGTTTGTTTTTCACTCAACATGATGAAATCTGATAAGACGCCACAGGACCGCCAGCTGTCCTGAAACTCTTTCAATTTGCTTATCACTCCTTTGATGGATAATAATATTTCAGGGCCGTTTCATAACAGGGCGGTTTGATGACAGCGAAGCACAAAAATTGCATGACTTCAAGTTTCATAAACCAGTCTGAAATAGAGTCGCACCCATTCTTCGCTTTCAGTTCCACATCGGTCTCATCACGGCTTTGGCAAAACCATCGAATAAATATTGCAAAAGCTGAAATGCTCAGGAGTAAACTGTTTTTATTTTATTTTATTTTGATTTCCATAACTCTCATAAAGAAATCAAGGAGGGAATTGAAGCGCATTTAAACAGTTTATGAATAATGAATTCGGGTGGGACCACAGCACAGTCACAAACATTACTTTATTTTGGATCATTTATGCTAAGTTTGCTGCAACATTTCGTAGTTTAGCAACTTGATCTGACCCCTTCTTCTCTCCCACAGGTATCTCTACCTCCTCTTCTCTGAGGATGACCACCTACCATTCGAACACTGGGTCTTCAATACCGAGGCTCACCCCCTGCCCGTCATAAGGAAGGATAAAACGGACAGACCCAACGAAGTGGAGTAACGGACCTGCCTGCACCGACGCCCAGAAACGTGTGAGAACCTCGATCCTGTATACTGAGCCTCCAGCTGTCTGAAACTGTTGAGCCGCTTGGAGCCCTGAGTGGTTTCAGATCAGACTTCACCTGATATTGTTGATGGGCTCAAAACTGAACCCACTTGTGCTGGAGCCGGGTTCTCGCTGGAGACTCCAGGGGTTTTTTGTTTTGTTTTCCTTCACTTGATTTTTTTTTTCTTCTTCTCTGGTTGAGTCCAAAGGCTGACCCAAAGCAACATATGTACTGCTGAATAACATGATAGCTCATCAAAATGTAGACATAATAATTAGAATCAAGATCTAAAGAAAAAAAAAAAGGCTGTTTATTTCACTCCTCGGTTTGACTTCCTTCGCTTTTCTGTTCATTTGGAGGGACAATGTGACCAGCTATCACTTTATTCATCAGTTTAATTGTTGCCAGTAGCCATTTTTGATGAGGAGGAGGACGCTGACAGTCATTCACCACTGATATGAACTACCATGGAGCCCGAGGAAAAGCTCCCCACTGAGGATCACAAGGCTGGCTGGCCGCGTGAACGGACGCTCAATTCCCTTCACATGTGTCGTCTTTTACCTGCTGCTCTACCACAACAACATCTGAATAGGAACTAGGAACCGGTCTTTCCTGCACCGACTTGAGTGTTTCATAGTGTCGTCAGAGAACTGCTGGTTTTCTTAAAAAAAGAATAGGAAGAAAAGGAAAGACGCAGCACAACCCGAGCCTCTTTTTATAAACCTAACCGACTCTTCTTCCTCCTTCCTTTCTCTTGAGTTGGATGTGACAAATGACGACCAGCCGCACCAGCTCATTACCTGCCAGTAACTCCACTTTCTCCCCACGATGTTTACACAAAGCCATCCTCCTCCTCCTCCTCCGTATTCTTCTTCTGCTTTTCATCTGCATCTTTGACCCGCTTTTAGATGTCTTTCTCCTTCTCATATGTGCCACTTTTCACAGTCTCACTCCAAAGATGATGTCTGCACAGCTGTAATGGAGCATGGAGATTAGTTGGAGTGCGGATGAAAGCTGTAGAAAGAATTAGGTACTGATTAGGTCCTGACATTCAACAGAAATCTTCTGAAAATGCTAATATCCTCACAATTGACCATGTGTATGCATTAAAAATTTAGCTTCCAGGCTCTTTACAAGAGGAAACTGATTTATTACAGTCCTCTGTAATCCTTGTGCATCAGTCGAGCCCTCGTCCTCTTCTTCACCGCGGTGTTGCTTCTTCTTGTTTCCGTCCTCCAGGTCCGCGTAGGGCAGCCTGTAGGATCTTCCCTCCTCTGTGAGGAGACGCCGTCGCTCGACTCTTCTATAACTATCCACCTTCACACACACAAGAAGCCATACTACTGCAACGCAGCTTCACCGTGCTGTTGTTAACGGGTTTTTTTGTTTCGTTTTTTTTCATCCTCCACTCACATGTAGAGTTTGTGACCGTGTTTGCTGCTTTTGTATCTTCAGAGTCGCGCTCGCCTGGTCATTTTAGTTTAATTTCACAGTGAAGACTTCTCCCGATGCCACACAGGAACCAGATTTAATCCAGTTTAGTCTTCGATCTAGTGCCTTCGCTGTAGAGAAGGAGGGAGAAAGCAGCTCACGCAAACACAAAAAGCAGTTTCAAAGCAGTATTGCAGCTTTAACTAAGAGCTCCCATTGCTCTGATGAGGATTATAATAAATCTAGACATGGATTAAAGGATGATAACTGCTTTTTAATTTGACGTTTGGACTAAGTTGGGCTTGATAAATGGCTCAAGAGTTGGTAGGAACTTGGGCTTTGTTGTGCTAAGAGGGAGATCAGAACACCAAAGTCCTGAGTTCAGAATTAAAATCGAAAATAAGTCCTATGCGCTTTACTTTTTCCATCTCCAGAGTCTGCGTCTCTGTTGGGAATCGCAGTCTAATCATTTGAGACCTGTGCAGGGCTCAGTCAACACATATTTGTTTGGCTATACTGACATCTAGTGGTAAGTCTAAATATTACAGTCTAAATAACCGTAGTCTGATAAGTCAACAGCTACTTCTATGTCCATAAAAGTATTTACAGCTCAACAAACAAGGAAAGGGAAAACATGCACTGTTGTACTTTGAGCCTTTAGATTGAATATTTGATGGAGCGAGGGCCTAGCTCATAGAACTGCACATTCAGTTCTGCTTATCCTCCAAATGAGCTTTAAACTGACAGATGGTGAGTCATTAGAAAGTTCAGTCAACAACAGGATGACTGCTGAGCTGATTTATTTGTTCTGGCTGAGCGACGCTTGTGCAGGTTATTTTTCTCAGCAGGTTAAAGAACATTTGCCCCAGGTGTCTCAGAGCAGGTAAATCAGTCTGTAAGGGTTTCAGAATCAGTGCTTTCTGTTTTTTTTTTCTTGTTTCGTCATCAGTTCTGCATCTTCCAGCTTACCTGCAGTGTTGTTTTATCCATCTAGATTTTTTTGGTGTGAGTCCTCCAGTTTTGGAGAACATACAGTCATGGGTTTATGTGCACTTCTTTCAGCACGTTTAATGGGCACAGTTTGATGAAAAAGAAATACATGAAACCGCTCACAAGAATGTTTGTAGAGTTTTGTGGATTCATAAAAGGTTTATCCCCAAAAGTTGATTCATCTGGACGTAGCGTTTTCAGTGGGGGAAACGTTTCGTCACTCATCCAAGTGGCTTCTTCAGTCTCAGCTGACTGCAGGTTTCTCCAGTGTTATAAACAGTACATAAGATTGGGGAAACCACAGTTATCTGAGACTGAGGAAGTCACTTGGGTGAGTGACGAAACGTTTCCCCCACTGAAAACGCTACGTCCAGATGAACAGAATCAACTTTTGGAGATTTACTTACTTGGATGATTGAGCATGCATCAAGACATAAAAAACTCAATATTCAAGAAAGGGCAGAAATCTCTACAGCCAATATCTACAAAAACAGTCGGCTAACAACAAAATAATCTAGATGGATGAATAGCACTACAGCACTACTTCTCTCCCTTTAGAAGAGCCCATTTTTCCTGATCCAGTCCCCAAGCATTCAGAATTTCTTACTTCCTGCCACCTCAAAATCGCCACTATTCACAAAAGATGAAGCTTTGACAAACCATACCACAGTCCTGTGTTTGCACGATGCTAAACTCCCAGATTTTTTTTATTTTGTTTGGAAAAGTAAAGCCCAAAATGCTCAAGCCCCGGTTTTTACCAACACTGACATATCGTTTCTCATTCTCTGAGCTGTGACCAATCTCTTCATGTTCTTTCTGTCACTGTACAGACGGCAGAGCTTACTGTTTGGTTTAGTTAGAGTGGCATTTATTACCCACGTGATGGTGTATTATTGTAATTCTGCTGATTGTGTTAATTTATTCTGTGCTAGAGAACATAGGAAACATTGGGAGCCGACCCCTAGGTGGCGCTGTGGGTTTTTAATTGGATTAGAGACAAAGACTGGCAGAGAGAAAGCTTCACAGCTGTGTGCTGGTCTGTTGGGGTTTAAAGAGCTGGCACCTTTACAGAACAACAGAAAAAAGGGGCGAAGGAACCACCTGGGAGTTGATGGGAAAACCTATAGGGAGTCGCATGAATGTACCATCCAATGTGAAGCGAAGAATATTTTGTTTGTATTTTTGTCTTTGTTCGCTTCAGTGTGCTTTGTTATGTTTGTTTTTTGGGTTATTTGGGGGGTCGCTTTGTTTTGGGCTTTTGTTTTTTGGGGGCTTTCTGGTATCTTCCACAGAAAGTGGAAGCCAGGCGTGCAGACAGGAAAAGGTTTGAGAGCAAAACAGATGGAGAGCTGCTTAATGTAGCTGTTTATGTGGGAAATGACCAAATCTATCACATGAGGTTTATTTCTACACTGTAGGGACATTTTTGTTGTTTTTCTCTGGATGTGACAAAAAAACATAAAAAGAGTTAAAGACATAAAGTGTTCGTTGTACAGTAGAGTGTTAGCACACTGTGCAGCTTTATATGAAACCACAGAAACCAGTGAGAGCTGAAAACAGCACGGTTCAACTATGTAAACATCGCTGTCTGATGGCTGCTGATCAAAGTAACAAAATTCTGCTTCATCCATGTTTTGGGTTCAGTGGGACGGGCTCGCGATTCTTCATCCGACAAGTTTGGCAATAGAGACGTCAATTAATTGAAACAGAAAGCCTCTAATGAGGGAACGTGTGATTATTTTCTTCTGATTTCTTGTTTTTATTTTTATTCCTTTTTATGTTGCTGTATGAAAAAGACGAAAACTACAGGAAATTTGTACTTTACTGGTAGTAAATGTTAAGATACTGAACAGTGACAGTTATCAGCTGGCTGGGTTTAATTTGTAATCGATTACTTTGATCTCTGCCGACTGCTGTGACAGGCTCCGACTACACGATATGTTATAATGTGTCAGATTAGATTATAAATTCAAAATATTATTTTTTACTTATTGGCTACGCCCACAGGCACGGAGGCCTAGAAATTCGTCAGCTACCACCTAGAAACCTAGAAGCTTTGTATTCCCTGAGTGGTTGGTGGAGATTGTAGACAGTGATGAGGTGAAACTGATCGCCATGGTTGCCTGTAGTTTTTATGGAAGACACTGGCGTGTCTGCAAACACTCTTAGACTACTTTCTGCGCTCTAGTGAAACGGTGAGAAAGGGCAGCACAAACCAGAAACATAGACCGTAATTTCCCTTCAAAGTAGTAAAAGCTCCAACTGTCAAGCTCGACTTTTATTTTGAAAAAAAATGTTCTCCGTTTTTGGGTTGAGTGACTTTTTATTTTTTCCTAGCAAGTGTTTGCAGACCGGTCAGTATCTTCCGTGCAAGCGATGTGACTACAACAATGTGACCAAAGAAATCACAAGGATGTTTTGTTTCACCCCAAGTCCGTTACGGCAGATGGCAGATGGCTGCCCTTCCCTGAGCCCGGTTCAGCCGGGTTTTCTTCCTGTTAAAAGGGAGTTTTTCCTTCCCACTGTTTCCAAGTGCTGGGTTTTCTCTGTATTAGTTGTCTCTGTACAAAAAAAAACTGAATTAAATTGAATCCGGGGCACTAATGTGAATCATTTCTATCTATCAAAAGACTCTAAAATATTAGAGCGAAAACTCCAACAATCAAAGAGTCTCTTATTTGCTCATAAGAGACTCTTCCTTTCCACTGGCACTAGGTGACAGTGGAAAGGAAAAACTGCATTTTAACAGGAAGAAACCTCCGGTAGAACCAGGCTCTTTAATGATGCAGACTTTGGGAGAAAGAAGATAAAAGTTAACGACGTGTAGCAGTGGTATCTAAAAACATGGTGAGAAGAGGTCTGTGGACACAAAATACTTCTTTTTGAAACCAGAGAGGTCGCCCCCTGATGGCCATTAGAAAGAAGGCAGGATTAGCCTCACTTTTAAGGTCTTGGCGTTATTTTTTATTTATTTCTTTTACACTTTCTGCAGTCAGGACGTGGTGAGGCATTCTTTCGTCCATAACGCCAGTTCTTGTTCCCGAGTTCAACTTCTCGCTGATGTCGTGTAGTCTGAACCTGGCATTGGCCGTTCACATTGATCCTGATGGTTTTAGATACTTTATGTACTTGGCATTTAAGACCTGCAGCTAACAGCCCGAGTATTTTCTCTATCACGTCATTCCCTAAGATGGTCAAGTTACAGTCTAACATGTAAACATCTTCTTGAGGTCAAGAATACCCTGTGACAGTCCTGAACCCACAAAAATGTCCAGTGTGCAGTTAGATAAAAGAGAGAAAAGAGTTAAGGCTACGTTTCACCATTAAGGTACTGATATCTCTCTGATGTGATTTAAGTTATTTAAAATTTCCGATGATTTCTGTCCGGTTACAGATCAAAACATTTAGTGGTGTGTGGGTTGTACTTTCTTTTCTTTTCTTTTTTTTAAGCCTCAGGTAAATATGATCGTTAATAGAGATTTGAATGGGTGAGATTTTGTGATATTTTCTGCAGTCATTTGCAGCATTTTGAGGAGTAATCTCCCAACAGGGAAATTTGCTTTCCAGGCATTAGTTGAACGCAGTATACATATGATTATAAATGTTGTTGTTGTCGATTTTTAAGCCCTGTGTGCAGACTTTTATTTTGAAGGTTTGTATTCTTAGAAACATTTGACCCAATTAGACTTAAAGGGCTCAGTCCCAGCTTTTTCTTCCAAAAAATTTAGTTTCTCTTGTGCTCGTGTCCACCTGGATTTTTATCATTTTAACATTTTCTCTCTCTCTCTTATTTGACACTGAACTGGTCGTTTCACTACCTGCAAAAGGAGATCTGGAGAATGTATTTGGTTTCTGATGTTTGCTTTAGCTTCACGTTGTGTGACATCAGGCTTTTGTTCATTCTCACATGCAGACTTTTTTTTTTATCTGTTGTTTTCATGATTAAGCTGAAATGTCTTTGGTGATTTTATGATTATTGTGTTGACGGTCTGTTGCTTTCCAATGCCTTTCTATTAGTGAATATTAAAGGAGAATTACACCAGTTTCAGGAGTTCAAACCAAAGTCAGTCAGTCCTCTTTGAATATACACCACCTTTCCTTAAACGTCTCATACAGACCACACTGACATTTGCTTTTCATGGTGGTACACGACCACTAGAAATGACTGGAACTCAATCTGAATTCCTGTAAATGGTCGTAAATCTCCTTTAAAGGGTTTAAACGTGTGAACCTCAGAAATGTATCTGTACAAAATATTGCTGATAATCTTTCCATTGCACATAGTTTACTTTGCATTTATATGCAATATTTTAATTTTGTGGGAAAATCTGTTTTATTGTGTTAATATTATAATTATTGAGTAAAAATGTAAATATTCCATTCCGGCAAACTGGCTGCTCGACATTTATATAAAAATCTCCTGAGCTTATGGATTAAGATGATATTAATGAGCAGCAGACTTTTTAATAAACTATATTTGTTACACTTCTATTGTGAATAAAAAATCTTTTAATATGTGGTTTCTTTGGATTTGTACTGTGTTATTTTAATCTACAGACCTGTTGTGGAATTTATTGGATTTGTGATATGAATTTAAAACCTGTGCTAAAAGTTTGTCTGGGCTGCGAACACAAAACTACTTTCAGATTTAGAGCTCTAAACGTGTCTTTTCAGAATAAGAGCATGGTATTAATGCGTTCATTGGGATACTTAAGTAGATGGATCCCCTCTGTCAAACTTTTTACATCAAATTATGGCCTTACAATCAGTTGCAGCAGAAACTGGATCTCACTAGAACAGGCAACATTTTTTTAGGCTTCTGTCCAATTTTCGTGAGCCTGTGAACGGTGTAAATTGTAGCTTCTCTTTCCTGTTCTTGGCTGACAGGAGTGCCACCCGGTGTGGTCTTCTGCTGTTCTAGCCTGTCTGCTTCAAGGTTTTGTGCATTCGTACACGTTCCTCGCTGTACCTTGAGTGTAACAAGTGGTTATCTGTTGCCTTCCTCTTGAAGCAGTCTGGCCATTTTCTAATGTTAACAAAACATTCTCATCCACTCTGTTTCCTCTTTCTCAGACCATACTTCTCTAAACTGTAGACATAGTTGTGTGGGAAAGTCGCATCAGTTTCTGAAATATTCAGATCAACCCAACACCACCAACAACCGTCTCGCGTCCAATCATTTAAACCAACTTTCTTCCCGT